TCGAACGCGAGAAGACTCCAGAATGAGGTGAACAGTCACAGCCAGCATCTATATCTCAATCCAGATCTCATCCAACGGTCAAGATAGAAGACATGTGTCAGCAGATCACTATAGCCAGCTTATTAGTAAAAACGTGTTTTATAAAACTGCGACAATGACAAAACATAAGGTAGCAGACCAGGGTTCGAATCTCCAACAGTGGCCTTCTGTCATTCGACAATGTTGGATGGAGTGGGGAAGGGTCACACTCTTAATTTTAGGGGCACGTGCATTCATGATATAATCCTTTATGTCTAAGTGCTACTTTCATTCCCACTTAATAGCACAAGACGAGATGGCTCTACTCATTTGGCACATGTGCCTCTATTTTATGAGCGATCCAAAGTCTTCATGACTTGACCTGGCTTCCTTGAATGGTTAATGGTTGTGTTACATCGACCTAACTGCCTTGACTCGAGCCCAAGTTATTAAGGGTTATTAGTCACCCCAATCATCTTAAATGTTGGAGAACACTTTTGTCCTAGCAAATGTCTGGAAGAAAGTGTCTCCCTGCCACTTGCACATGGAAAACCCCCTGTACAAGTGGATTTATCCTCTTTCATGTATCAATGTCCATTACCAATACAAATAGATAGATATTTTTCATTGATATACGTCTTTTTTCGTTAATGACTATGCTCTTCATTGATGAACATGACTATACGTTACTTGCACACTAGAACATTGTTAGAATGCAAGAATATTGTACCGAATGGTTAAACGAATGTTCACATTGATTACAATGCTTAAGTCAAATGAAAATAAATGAATAAAATTTTGTCTAATTTTAGATATTGCATACGTTTGGTTTATGCAAATTGACAATATTTGCGTGAGATTTGAGACTGGAATATTTTTTTGACGCTTGTTGGCAGACAACTAACTTTAATTTATTTGTCTGTAATATATAGTATATGCTAAGGATGTAAATGAGCCAGCCAAACCGGCTCGCGAGCCAAAGATCATGGCTTGGACAAAAAAAGCTCGGGTTTTTTTGCCTGAGTCGAGCCAAACCAAAGCTTGATTGAAAAATCGAGGTTTGGCCTTGTTGAGTGGACTCGGATTTTAAAAAAAAAACAAACGATAAACAACTGCTAGCACCTAAAACATCATGCTTGCAGGTGGACAGATGCCTGCTTCAGGCGCTACATGGCTACCTGCATGAAACGTGGCCAGTCAAACTTGTGACACGGGCAAAAAATGTTCGTGCCACGAGCTATCATTTTGGCCTGCTAGCTCGAACTCGAACTCGAACTCGAACCATCATCTGTAAAAGAGGTTCAGCCCAAGCCTTGATTCGGTTTGACAACTCTAGTTTAGGCGCCAGCTCCTAAAAGGCTTTATTTTCTTTCAAATTTTTCATTTTTTAAAAAGTTAAATAACTAATTAAATGAAAATAATCACCGTTTAAAAAATTATCATGCTGAGAATCTTGTTTGTGACTCGAACTCTAGAAGGAAGTTACAGTCAACCAAGTCAAAGATGGTATCATACAAATACCCGACCCGATTGGAAGCCATAAACGCTGACGGTATAAACCTCTGCAAAACCCTAATGGAAAACTCCATTTCTGAATCGTCATTATCAGATTAAGGACGAAAAGAACAAAGAGAGAGGATGGGGAAAATCCCACCGGGCTTCAGAAGAGCGGCATCCCAATCCCCAGTAAGCACTCTACTAAAAAACAACGTTTCTTCTTCTCCCCTTCGGCCATTTCCTCTGAAAACTTACCCAAATTCTCCCAAGAAGAAGCCTATAAAAAACAACGTTTTAACAACAAATACACCCACACCACCAATCGTTTTTGACTCCCCAAAGCTCTCAGATGCCAAATCCCTGTTCAATTCACTTGTTACCAATAGCAGAAACACCCCTTCAGACTCCAGATTCTACAACTCAATTTTGGAGTCATTTTCATCGGTTTCTTCTATGCAAGACTCAATTTTTTTCCTCAATCACATGATCAAGAAACATCCTCCGTTCTCCCCGGACCGGTCTTCTTATCATATTCTCCTTGTGCAGTCTTGCAGAGCTCCAGATGATCCTTCTCTTTCAAATGTCCAACATGCCCTCAACCTCATGACTACCAATGGTTTTCCACCCAATCAAGTCTCGGCGGATATTGCGGTGAGAACCCTTTGTGCTTGTGGCCGCGAAGAGCACGCCATTGAACTGATTAAGGAGCTGTCGGCCAAGAATTGTCCTCCTGATACCTATACTTACAATTTTCTGGTTAGGCACCTTGTCAAGAACAGGTCTTTGAGTACAGTGAATTGGTTTATAAAGGATATGAGGGAGGGATTCAATATAAAGCCGGACCTAGTGACTTATACTATCATGATTGATAATGTTTGTAATAGCAAGAATTTGCGTGAGGCAACACGGTTGTTGGGAGTGTTGAGAGAGGAAGGGTACAAGCCTGATTGCTATGTTTACAATACGATAATGAAGGGTTATTGTATGTTGAGTCAAGGGGGTGAAGTGTTGGGAGTGTATAAGAAAATGCAGGACGAAGGGGTAAAACCCGACCTGGTAACTTATAACACTCTGATTTATGGATTGTCCAAGTCAGGTAGAGTTAAGGAGGCGAAGAAATTTTTGGAAGTCATGGCTGAAATGGGTCACTTTGCAGATGCTGTTACTTATACTTCGTTGATGAATGGGATGTGTAGGGAAGGAGATGCATTGGGAGCATTGGCTTTGTTGGAGAAGATGGAAATGAAGGGATGTGAGCCAAATTCGTGCACATATAATACATTGCTGCATGGGTTGTGTAAATCAAGGTTATTAGATAAGGCGATTGAGTTGTATGGGGTGATGAAGAATGGTGATATGAAGCTGGAATCTGGTTCTTATGGAACTTTTTTGAGGGCGTTGTGCAGGAATGGCAGAGTTGCAGATGCTTATGAAGTGTTTGATTATGCAGTGGAGAGCAAAAGCTTGACGGATGTTACTGCATACTCAACATTAGAAAGTACTCTTAAGTGGTTAAAGAAAGCTAGAGAACAAGGTTTTGTCATTTCACCTGAATAGCCGGTACTTCTTTTCCCCAAATGTAACGAACTCTATAGCCTGCTTTAGTCATTTACGGATCATGTATGCTAGTAAATTTGTTTGGTATTCTTCTTCTCATTCTTTCCTCGATTTTAGAAATTAGATGCGATATTTAGTAAGTGGCCAAGATCTCTATAATATTTTATGTAATGGTTACCAGTTTCATTTAAAATTTGCAGAGACAAAATTTAAACTGATTGCTGATGGGGAATTATTTGCTGTGGAACCTTACCAGATATTCCCTATTTAATCTCCTTTGTTAGAAGGCATTGCATGATAATTTACGAACAAAAAACCAAACTTAATTCTAAGGAGTTGAAGTGGTCATTTGGGATAATAAGATCCTGAACACAAAAACACGTGTTCATTCAAGTTTTCTGATTATCTCTGATGAGTTATAGATGATTGCCATCCTTAGGTATATATTTGAGTGGGATGAAGTGCAATCGAAGTTTTAGGACTTACTGATATTGATACTTGAACACTAAATTGATCGGAGGTGATTTACCATTTAGATTTTTTCATGCCCCAATTTCTCTCCTACAAATGAAGACAGGTAACACAAAACCAAACTCAATTCTAAGGAGTTGAAGTGGTCATTTGGGATAATGGGATCCTGAACACAAAGCATTTGGTCATTCAAGTTTTCTGATTATCTCTGATGAGTTATAAATGATTGCCATCCTTAGGTATATATTTGATTGGGTCACGTTTGATGAAATGCGGTCGAAGTTGTAGGACTTTCTGTTATTGATGCTTGAGCACTAGATTGATCAGAGGTGATTTAACATTTAGATTTTTTCATGCCCCAATTTCTTTCTCCTACAAATGAAGACAGGTTATATTGTATAAATTCTTCTAGAAAGAATTTGACTGGCCATGAACAATATGATAGTTACCTCCATCCTACATATTGTGAATTTGAGTATGAAGTTAAAGTTTGTTTTGANNNAGTATGAAGTTAAAGTTTGTTTTGATGAGTAGCTGCCCAGGAGACATGAATATCAGAATTTTAGGGGAATGCTAGAAATAGTGGTTGGATAAATTTTACCTTTTTTGATAATTCAGTCAAAATTTGATTGAAATATGAGGTAACATCACTGCATAGAAGAAGTATGTAACATGGACATTTCCCTTGCAAAATTCATACTAATTCCTTTATTTTAAAACTTTTTCCCTTTTATTTTTTTAATCTGTACTGAATATGTCCTATAGTTTGTCGCTGCTAGAGAGTTTTCTAGTTGTGGACTGTGGTTGTCGGGAATGTATACCATGAGGCTGTTATAATTGAATAGCAAATATAGTAATGATACTAGTTATAGAATTTAGTAAATATCGTATTCTATTAAGTCCACATATGACGAATGTATAGTAACAATGCACTGCTTCGAAGGCTCTGTGGCATTGTATGGATTGCTTTCACCTGAGTGAAATTGAAGTTCATTCGTGTGTTGGAGTTTGGTATGTATTTGTGGGGTAGGGGATTGGGAGTAGAGTGAATAAACTCATTAAGGGAATGAGTGAAACATATGTAGAAGGTTAAATAGTAATTTCACCTTTCTTTGGTCTAGGTGTAAGCTCTGTCCTTTTAGCATCTTTCATAGTCATTACTCAAATAAAATATAATTTACCTCGATGACTGACAATCTTTTTTTCACATATCTTGAATGTTAAAATATTATTCTAGTCTTTTACCTTTCCCCAGGCTCGTAAGCTCCATATTATTAGTTTTATTTCAAATAGTTATTTAAACAAATGATTATGCAAATAATAGTGGTGATTGTATTACTTACTATACAGAATCAAAGTCAATAATGATACAAATCTGGTTCTCTATTTTCTCTGTTCGCTAGTATTCTTTGATGCCATCAAATTATTTGTCATGCTTTGTTAACGCACTATGAGGTTCAAAGGCTTAGGGTCCTGCAAGTTTGTGCCTCCATTTGATGTTTTAATTTCCCATTTTCCCTTTGTCGTAAAGATCATTTCTAGGGCATCGTAATCTGAGATCAGTATTTATGTGGTTAGTGGTTGTGATAAATTTAGCTTGTAAACTATTTACTTTTAAGGCCTGTTTGGGAAAGATTTTGATTTTTCTACAGTAAATCAATTCTCATTTTCAACCACACATTCTTCAATAAAATAATATTTTTCATCATATCAATAATTTTTTCTTCTTTCTCAACCACACATTTCCCATCATATCACTATTCAAAATCAATTCTTNAGTATGAAGTTAAAGTTTGTTTTGAAGAGTAGCTGCCCAGGAGACATGAATATCAGAATTTTAGGGGAATGCTAGAAATAGTGGTTGGATAAATTTTACCTTTTTTGATAATTCAGTCAAAATTTGATTGAAATATGAGGTGACATCCCTGCATAGAAGAAGTATGTAACATGGACATTTCTCTTGCAAAATTCATACTAATTCCTTTATTTTAAAACTTTTTCCCTTTTTTTTTTAAATCTGTACTGAATATGTCCTATAGTTTGTCGCTGCTAGAGAGTTTTCTAGTTGTGGACTGTTGTTGTCGGGAATGTATACTATGAGGCTGTTATAATTGAATAGCAAATATAGTAATGATACTCGTTATAGAATTTAGTAAATATCGTATTCTATTAAGTCCACATATGACGAATGTATAGTAACAATGCACTGCTTCGAAGGCTCTGTGGCATTGTGTGGATTGCTTTCACCTGAGTGAAATTGAAGTTCATTCATGTGTTGGAGTTTGGTATGTATTTGTGGGGTAGGGGATTGGGAGTAGAGTGAATAAACTCATTAAGGGAATGAGTGAAACATATGTAGAAGGTTAAATAGTAATTTCACCTTTCTTTGGGCTAGGTGTAAGCTCTGTCCTTTTAGCGTCTTTCATAGTCGTTACTCAAATAAAATATAATTTACCTCAATGACTGACAATCTTTTTTTCACATATCTTGAATGTTAAAATATTATTCTAGTCTTTTACCTTTCCCCAGGCTCGTAAGCTCCGTATTATTAGGTTTATTTCTAATAGTTATTTAAAAAAATGATGATGCAAATAATAGTGGTGATTGTATTACTTACTATACAGAATCAAACTCAATAATGATACAAATTTGGTTCTCTATCAAATTATTTGTCATGCTTTGTTAACGCACTATGAGGTTCAAAGGCTTAGGGTTCTGCAAGTTTGTGCCTCCATTTGATGTTTTAATTTCCCATTTTCCCTTTGTCGTAAAGATCGTTTCTAGGGCATGGTAATCTGAGATCAGTATTTATGTGGTTAGTGGGTGTGATAAATTTAGCTTGTAAACTATTTACTTTTAAATATAAGTAAAACAGTGGTCATATAAAATATAATTATTAAGAAAAACAGTGAAGTTAAAGAACGTCAAGTTACACGATAACGTCATCTTAATTCTCGAGAAGGTTAATTAATTTCTTTGGTTGCTAAATTACATGTGATTGGCCATTATTTTTTTGGGTTAATGTGCATTCCTCAATATATGCTTTTTAAAATTGGAGTTTTGGATACTTTTTCCCCAGCCTTTTGAGTTGGAAGTTCAAAAAAGTAGGATTATAGATCGGAGTCTCCAGTCTATAAACCAAAAGTCTAATCAATTGTTAATAAGAATTTTTTTTTTTTTGCAATCAACAGTTGAATATTCTAGGATGTCTTTTTGCTAATAAAGGTCGGAAGTCAGATTACGCCCCTATTCCCTCACATTTTGTTCCGGGATCTTTTGCTATGAGCGCATCCTTAGAAATGATTGTAGTACTTCGGAACTCAATATTCAGGAATTAGAGGATTTTGAGACCCCAATATAAATGAAATTGATGTTGGATTTGGGAATTAGGGGTTTCATATGGTTAATTTGAGCTCTCCTTTAGAGAATCTACCTTAATTAATCTGACATGACATTTTTCTTTGGGGTGAAAATCGAGTTATCATCAGGAGCAGCATAGCTTGTATGCTGTAAGATTGAAACAAACTCATACAGCAGTTTAATTGTAAAGCTCAGATTCCCTAGTTCACAATAGTGTTTTTCTTTATATTAATTTGCATCTGTTGACGGCCCTTCTTGAATTGAACTCTTGAGCTAGCCCTGTCAGAAATTCCTCGAGTTGAATTAGACATATTGGTTTCCCATGTTGCTCCGTGTTTGCTTAGGCCTACATTGAACTAGTTTTTGTTTTAGTCTGGTTTTCTGAATTTACCTTCCACCATTATTGTTAAAGTGTATATTGCTTGAAAAGTGCAAAAGAGTGGCCCAAAAAAATATTATCTAATTTTAGGCTTTTAGTTTTGTTCTTGGTTGTCATTTTCATTTCCCCTTACATTCTACGACTCTCTGGAGCCTAATCATATTATATACTTATTCCCTTGACCATAGATAAATTAGGCGTTCTATACGTATTGGGTTGCTCTAATATTCCTACACGTTCGCTCTTGTAACTTGGATTAGGGCTTAATCCTTAACACAGTATTAATGTCACCTTTTTCTTTTTGGTTCTCAACTCTGTTGTTTGTAAGCATGCTAGATTCTTCATTCTTGTAACAGTTGCAGTTTTTGTTGCCAAAAAGGAGGCAAAGGACCAGTGAGCGATATAAGGTTGTACATTAGTGCAATGCATATTCAAGGAAAATACAGAGATTGCCCAGATCATCAGAGGGATTTGCTGGTATATGGATTCTGATCCATGAGGGGGGACAATTGATTAATTGAAGATTGTGGGAAAAGATTGTTCATGAATGGTTCATATTTAAGAGATTGTTAATAAGAAACATAGATTGTTTCAGATTCTGTCTATTGTTAAGAGATTCTTGTGGTTTAGGAACATCCACACTGAATCGGTGGTGACGGAGGATTTATTTCTTAAATGAGCGATAAGAAGATTTGAATTCAAGATTTTGTGTGCTTTGATACTATGTAGAGAAATTGGGAA